ACCGGGGGTAAGGGATGCTCCAGGTTCCAGATGCCAAACAAGAAACTGTTGTTTTCCCGGTGAGGACATACCCCAGGTCACAGTAGTACTTCACTGATACTCCAGGGATGAACACTTTTACATCCTTGCTCTCATGTTGGCCATTTTTGATGTTTGGAGGGGAAGGACACTGTAGCACTACAAGGAGGGGAAAAAAGTCATAACTGGTGAAGAGCAGGTACCAGAAACACCCACTGTAGGGTAAGGCAGCCTTTTCACTTCTTTCTTTTCCATTAACTTTTCCCAAATAGCTAGGGATGTCAATGTATGAATTATGTTTCCATCCTACCCTCACCTATCTTCCAGCCTTCATGTTTTTTGAGCTTAGTGACATCAAGAACGATCTTTTCTCACTATTTAGGCATTTACAGTGGTTAGTTTCCATCTGTGGCCCTAACAGCTTGCTCTGGCCTTTCCGTGGTTGTGAACAAGATCAGACACCAGCCTGGCTCTCTCTCTTTGTGGATTCATTTAAGGAGATGAAAGCCCTTCCTAACAAGGGTCTGAATGGGGATTATGAAGATGGAAGGACAGATATTTGCATGTTTTTCCTTTCCAGTCCTGGAGAGTGGTCCTTTTACCTCCGAGGTGAGGCAGTTGCACCCTGCCTCACCTCACACAGTGGGTCAGAAGAAATCAGCTACCACCCACCGCCTCATTTACACTTACTCTTTTCACAAATAGGGACAGGAGGGTCCCACGTGTCCCCAAACTGGCACTGAGACTCTTGAGAGCCCTTCAAGGCGTAACCAAAATCGCATTCGAAGACAACGATGTCTGCGAGTCTGTACACTGTCTCCAGCCCAGTCGTTCTTCCGTTCTTGATCTCTGGTCTTTTGCAGCCAGTTGCTGGAAGTGAAGAGCACGAGGCACCGCTGGGGATGTGAAGCCCATCCCGGGAGCGGAGGGGCACTGACCATGGCCAGTACCTGCTGCCGAACATTGCCATCGCTGTCATGGGCATGTCAACATTAATGACTCTAATTTGTACACAAAATATCATTATTCAACTGCACTTACAGTCTGTCCTTACTGGGGGGCAGAAAAGGAAATCCACAGAGGCAGGTGGAGTTCCTCCTGCCTGTGGGACCTTTGGCCTCTGCCTCTCACTGGAGATTCGGTCTGCAGCGATTAGTCCGAGAGCCAAGAAGGAAGAAAGGACCCAGGGAAAGATAAAAGAAGCCAACGCAAACACACCTTCACATCGGGGCCGGGGCCGGCTCCATGTTCCCCCGGCGGTACAGCTAATGGAGGCATTCCCGATGAGGGAGTAGCCATCCCTGCAGGTGTATTGCACAGCCGAGCCTGGAAGGTGGGTGTCTGAGGGCTGGCCGCTGTGGTTCCCGTTGGCGATGCCTGGAGGGGGAGGACATTTCACCTCTGTGAAGGAGAAGGAAAGGCAGATAAGAAATATGGACAGGGCAAGAAAAAAGAATTTAAATAATCCAACCTTCAAAAACCAAAGGAGGAAGACAATTAATTCCATTAACTCCTTTGAATAAGTATCTGTCATGTTAGCTGTCTTCCTGTCAGTGGGTGCAGCCCCCACCACAGCCACGGTCATTCCTTCTGCCCCTCACAACCAACTCCACACCGCGGGGCCGCAGAGCCCTACCTCCGCACCGCGGCGGCGGCCCGCTCCACACGCCATGCTCCCCGTCCGCTGTGGTGCAGAAGATGGAGGGCTCTCCAGCCAGCGGGTGGCCGGGGTCGCAGGTGTAGGTGACCACATCCGCGTAGGAGAAGGTGCCCATCAAGTGGCCACTGTGTCTCCCGTGGGGGATGTCCGGCGGCGGATCGCAGGCGATACCTGTGGGCACGTACAAGGTGGCTTTTAGCATCAGTGCTGCAGCAGCACCCGGGGTCTGCAGGACACACACGCTTCTCAGGAAGGGAACCGATTGGGATGAACCCATCTCAGTGGTGATGCTCTCTGGATACAATGACCCAAATTATCCAGAGACAAACCTTATATGGAAAAAATCACACGTGAGAAGGAAAACCTGCGCCCTCCTGTGAGTCACTTCCTTGCTGCCCGTGTCTGGAGGTGGTGGGACAATTCTTACCTCCCTTTCCATAACCATTGGTGACACATGCAGAGAGAGACTGGCCACACCATTCCTACACATGACCAGTGGGAAATACTTACCCCAGTAACAGGGATTTTAAAATATTAATGGTTTTCTCAGTTTGGACCAGGGTAAACAAAAGACCTTTGGAAACATTTTCAGAAACATCCAAAACAAAACAAAATGAAAAGAAAAATGAAAGATTTGACACATACAGTGACTTGAGAAAGCTTTTGCAATAAAATCTTTGTCTTGAAAGATGTGCCACTGTCTCTTGCAAGCCATCTCCAAGGGCCTTTTGTTGTGGCCTACTTACGCTGGCAGACAGGAGCATCTCCACTCCACGAGACATGTGTGCCAGAGACCTCGCATGTTCTCTGAGAGCCTCCAACCAACTTGTACCTGGAGTCACAGAGAAGGATTTACTAATTTACATTAGGAGATTTGAGTTTTCTTTACAACCCTTGTAAGTGGCAGCCAACAATTCTGACTTGGGAACTACGTTCCTTCACATAAAGCTAAAAATCTGCTTTACTCTCACTTGGCAGCTGAATCCAGCTAGTCGCAAGACTTACCCCTTGTCACAAGTGTAATTCACTTTGGACCCGAAGAGGAGGTCCGTCAGGACAACAGCTCTGCCGTTCTCCAGATCCCCCGGGATAGCACATTGTTTCCCTGGAAGGGAAGATGAGCCACCATTAGCCCTCAGCTGCTCACTCACATCCCACTCAGGGATGCTGACACAGAGAGTGGACCACATAAAGTAAAAAAACCCATAAAGCCAGAAAAATGTGAAAATCCAGCCAAGCCTGACACTTTAGGTTTTCAGCACTTGCAGGACGTACTTGTACAGAACTCCAGCGCCGCAGACCATGTCTGATTCCTGAGGCATGTGATGGCCGGCGGCATCCCCAGGCGCTGGGCGTACCCCGGCCGGCACACGTATTCCACCGTCCTCCCCACGGTAAAGATGGCCTGGTTGCTGTATGGCTCCTTCAGCTCAGCAAACGCCAGTCTTGTAGGTGCATTGCAGCCAGCTACCAAGAAAGATACCAGCCCAGTTGTTAAAGGAGTCAAGAAAAAGCAGATTTGGGAGAGCAGAGGGAAGGTTAACATTCAGAGCACTGTTTGAACACTTGCCCTGCTCGCAGACTGGCACGGGTGGCTCCCAGGTGTTATTTAATTGGCATTGTACCACTCTGTGGCCGCGTAGAACATAGCCTGGCTCACACTCAAAGGCAGCGGTGTCCTTGTGTGTGTAGGCAGTCCTAGGAGACACTATTCTCCCATTCTGGACCTGTGGGACAGGACATCTTGCCTCTGGAAAAGAAGCGCAGGTCCTCAAAACAGGCACTTACGCAGCATGCAGAGCTGTGCAGCTGCAAAGCCACTTTAGAGTTGCAATCCCACAAGTCTGAAAATAATTTAAGACACAAATCTGAAAATAATTTTCCCATAGATGATGTACTGCCTGCATCCAGCGATGTCAAACGTTGAGGGAGAGACCCAAATAGAAAGGTGAGGCTGGGGATGCTGGAGGCAGTGGGGTGATCCTCCAGCCTCCTCCCCTCTGCCTGGCCACAGTTGCAAATCAGCCTGTGCAAATCCTGCCCTAGCAGGCACTCAGGCAAGAAGTGCAATTGTCTGGAGGTTTCCTAGGCTTTCCGAATACAAAGCAGTAGGGCCGGGAGGATTGCACCCGAGTATTAGGACGTGCACACACAACCCTACCTCCACACTGCGGGGGGGGCCCGCTCCACACGCCATTTTTCCCATCGTGGGTGGTGCAGTAGATGGAGGGCTCTCCATGGAGCGGGTACCCGGGGTTGCAGGTGTATGTTACAGATGTGCCAAAGTGGAATTCGTGCAGCAGCCTGCCCGTGTGCTTCCCATTGGGAATGTCCGGAGGTGGCTTACAAGGGATACCTGCAGAGGTGCAGAACAAGGCTTCTAAATTCAACAGCAGCAACAAAGTACTTTAAATCCAACAGTCTGTGGGGCATAAACACTTGTGCCAAAAATGGAGTAACTGCAGTGAAGTGACCTTCTAGTTGAGGCCTTGTAGGCAACTGGATCCCATCTCCCTGGTCAGCTATTTCTGTGACAGTTAGAAAGCAGACCAGTAAGACAAACCTCTATGGAGGAAACACCTACATGCTTTATCTTTTCTACTGTTTAAGAAATAAAAAAACAAGTATTTCTTTTGTATCGCCTATATAAAATCCAGATTCTTCAGTTGCACACAGTGCAAAGGCACGCACAGGCAGAGATTTGTATGTCACCTTAGGTTAATATCTACCCAGAGAATCTGTAAAATGCTTTAAAATCCCAGAATGTGCCAGTAAATGTTTCTTACTTATATGAAACTGTCACCTAATCAGCAACAGTACTCAATCAGCAGAGAAGCGCCCAGGTGTAATTGCTGAGGTGCAGTACGGCAGCTCTTTGGATACACGTCAGTTATCCGTGCTCGTGGTGAAAGAGAGAGCCCCCGGTTTGGGACTTCGGGGTTCCACTTCTGGCCCTCCCACAGCACTCTGCCTCTCTTCTTAGAGAGACCATGTGCCTTGGTCTCTCTGTGTCTAAAAATAACAACCCTTAAGCTGAAGATAGTATTTTGCCTTCCTCTCTTGTAATAGGCTTGTGATGTTAGTTTTTTTTCCTGCTGAAAAAGCTCCAGCTGGGACATTGCTTTCTGTAATCCATTAAGCTTTGAGATCTTGTACCTTTTCCCAGAACATTTTCTTATGACATCAAAACCTTCTGATATTTTTCATGCCCCCAGAGCACAGAAATTCCCCATGAAAGCTTTGATTGGAAAGATTTCATAGTCTCTGCTGGAAAATATTTACCAGATCCATGCAACCCCCCGGAGCTGTAAGCTACTTACGCTGACAAGTGGGAATGTTGCCACTCCATGCAACACGTCCATCAGAAATCTCACATCGTCTGCTCGGTTGTCCAATTAACCTGTGCCTGGTGTTAAAAGGATTGAACATTCATCCCAAGTCATTTCAGTGCAAGTTACTACCTCTGCCTCACCACCCCGGGAGGCGTGATCGGCCCCGCTGACAGCAAAGCTGTGGCCCTGAAGGAGAAGTTCCCTTCCTTGCTCAGCACCACCTTACCAATTTCACAGTATATACATGTATACATAAGATAGGGAACACCTTATGTCTTCATATAGGTGCAGAACTCTATAGAGTGGCTTCTGTATATAATCCATTTATTGGGAATGAATGAATAGGCAGGAAAAAGGGAGACTTACCTAATACATCTCTCTTTGCTGTTTTAAGCAGTAGCCAAAACCAAGACTTACCCTTCTTCACAGCCGTAGAACACTGTTGACCCAAACAGGAGATCTGTTAGGGAAATAATTTTTCCATTCACAGGTTCACCAGGATGATTGCATTGTTTCCCTGGGGGAGAAAAAAAACTCATTTTAGGCTTCTCTCTGTCTATACCGTGGTACAACAGATGCAACTATTACCCCAGTAATCTGTCCACATTTCCAGTTACCCCCAAAAGGGGTTTCGAATAGCATAAAGTTACATGGCTTTACTAGTCACATACTATTTGAACATCAGAAGAAGGTTAAGGTTTTTGCAGTATGGACAGAACCTAGCACCTATTCCTTCTTGAATAACGGACACCAAATCAAGGAGCTATTCACTTTTACAGAACTCTAGTGCTTCTGACCACACTCCGCTCTCAAGGCACGTAATAGTAGGTGACATTCCTGGGTGTTTAGCATATCCAGGTCGGCAAGTGTATTGCACAGTCTTCCCAACAGAAAAATCAATCTCATTTTTATGCTCCTCAATTAGCTCAGCAAAGTGTAACCTTGTAGGAGCACCACAACCACCTATTGAGAAAGAAAACAGACATGAGAATCAGGCAGAACAGGCATGCCGGCTGCAAGCACAGAAAGAACACTGTTATGAGGAAAGTTGTTTGGTTTGCCTTGCAAAATTGTTTATTTTGATTAATATAGCCATTATTAAACAAACACAACATATTTTCCCAAAGGATTCCAGAGGATCAGGTCCTTATTCCCAGGATATACTTAAATCTTCCACTCACAGGGTTTTTTAACAGGGTTAAAGTAGCAATGTACCCCAAGGCAGCTATGTCACGCTTTACCTGGAAGTTCAGGCCTGTTTGAGAACTCCTGGTAATGGTACAGTCTACTGCAGATGGGAACAGGAGGGTGCCAGCTGCTGTCCTCCTGGCAGAAGATTTTAGCACTGCCTTGCAGGCTGTAACCATCGTGACACTGAAATGTCACCATTTGCCCAGGTGCGGAGATAAGCCCTTGACCATCAACTTGCCTTCCATTTTCTATATCTGGATTTATGCAGACAGTCACTGGAAATGATGACGTAGAGAAGCGATGTGCAAAAGGAGTCAGACAAAACAAAACAAAAGACCCACAGGCTGTTAATATTGCAACAACAAAACCTACATGAGATCTACATAAACCTCCCAAGCCCCACCTTCACAATAGAAGGGATTGAAATTAATTTATACCATGCAGCACTTTACATGGGAGTAACCACCTCTGAGGATCTGGTTGCAACAGTCAGGGTGTCCCCTGTCCTCAGAGCCACACCATGAGCTTGTCATCTGAGGGGACAG